CCCCCCAAGCCAGTGGCCAGCACTCAGCCGCCACCAGATTTCCACACTGTGGGCGTGCGGTGGTAGGAAACCAAGCACGGTGGGGAGGGGGTGAGCCAGGCACAGCCCACCGAGCATCCTGGTGCCTGCGCCGCTCCTGCAGCGCCCAAGTCCTGGCAGGCTGACAGCCGGGGGTGGGGGCTGCCCAAGGGCCAGCACCTGGGGATGGGCCGTAGGGGCCGTAGGGCACCGGGCTCCCTGCCTCTGTGGGCCAAGGGGATATAAAGGCCTGGTGTGGAAGGCTCCCTCTCCCCCTCCTCTTCCTCCTTCTCCTCCCTCTTCCTCTCCTCTTTCCCCCTCTCCCTCTCCTCACCATTCCACCCTCCGTGCCTCTCACGGGGGGAGAAATGGAATTGCGCGCTCTATTACAAAATAACAACCCAACAACCCCTGCCCACAGGGTTCAGACCAAGGACAGAGTTTGAACTGAAATTAAACAACAAAATAATGAATACATTGAGTTTTTCTAATCTTTTTTTGCTGGGCAGGGTGAGGTTTGGGCAAGACTTTACTTTCTTCTCCATTTAAGGAAGAACAATGGAGGGAGACAGATCAGAGGACAGAGCAGCACATCGTCCCCAACGGAGCAGCCAGCATGAGGAGGCCCTTGAAGGAGGGTCACGGAGGAAGGGGAGAGAGCGCAGAAGCTGGAACTGGAAGAGGTGTGTGAAGGGAGATGCCCGGCCCAGCAAGGAGAGCGGGCTGTACACCTGGGGTGAAAAAGCCTTGGCTGGCCAACCTCAATCCTTGGAGATCATCTTGGAAGCCATCTCCAAGGACAAGAGCAGTGCAAGCAGAACATCTCAATGGTTTGCTGTAGGGCAAAGCGTGCCTCACCAGCTGGGTAGCCCTGCCACGGCTGTCCCACACCAGGGCAAAATGTTTTGACACCCCCCCGTGACCATTGGGACGTGGCCTGACCTCCAAGCAGAGAGCAGCTGCAGGAGAGCGACCAAAGGGGTGGGTGGTGGAGGTGGGCTTCTTGGCAGTGGTCACGGCCACGCTGACTTGACCGAGGGCTAGTCCTGCTCCGAGCGAAGGCTGGCTCAGAGCTCTCCAGAGAGCCCCTCCAACCAACCTTTCCAGGAAACACCACTCAGTCCTCCCCTTCAAGCACAAAACAATCCGAAGGCGAACGGTGCTGTCTGCGTGCCCGGGGGCATTTTCCAGAAGCAAATAAAAGCTCACAGACACCGCGGGTCATTGCCAAGCAAGCAGAAAGGCAGCTCAGCGCTGCGGGAACAAACGCTCCCCTTTGGGCAGCAGAGCTGCCTACCAAGGACAGGCCCCCAGCCCTCCCTCCTTCCCACCCCAAAGATTCCTGCAGACAGACTGAGAACGCTCGTAAGGTCCCGTGGCTGGCGGCGACATAAGCTGAGACTCTACCTTGTTCCCTCTAAGGAATGTACCTCTAGTTTTCCGGCAGTACCCCACGCAAAAGAAGACATGCCCCCAAACATGCCTGTTTTAATAACGAAGCTGCTGGCACACTCCCCCAGCGATGGGATCTCATTCAGCCCAGCAGTTTATTCCAAAGTGCATTTACACTGGTGCCATCCAAACTCACGCTGTTGCCCTGATTGATTGATCTCGAATTGAACTGAAACTACAGCTAGCTTCATCTTAATTCCTGAATGATGGTATTTACGGAGCCAAGCAGTTCCTTGAAATAGCCGTCTTTGTCACCTTCCCTCTGCTCCTCTGCCGCCAGCTCCTCGTACTCACTGCGCAGGAGGCTGAGGGTGGTGCTGAGGGCCTGGTCCCCCTGGTAGCGCTCCTTGCAGAAGGCCATCAGCACACCGACCATCTTGAGGACCTTCTCCCGAGTGTCGTGCTCCGGCATGGCCAGGAGGTTGGAAACAACCACGCACCAGTCCTGCTCCACCACCGCCGGGACCAGTTTGACTTGCCGGTACTGCTGGATTTTCTCTTCCATTTGCTCTCCGTGCTGTGAATTCTCAAGCAGCATCTGTGGGAAACGATGGAATATGGAGTAATGTCCCTATCAGAGAGCTGATAGCACCTGCTCCCAGGAGGTGACACATCGCAGGAGAGGAGGATGCACGCCCTGTAACACCTGCCTTGGAAGGGGACTTGCAACAGGAAAACCAAGACGAGGTTGTGTCCTGGTTCCCTGCTGCCCAGGGATGAAGTTGGCCACAGGGGCTGGTTGCCCACCCTGGAAAACTCCCGGTGACCGGGGATTTCAGTATCACATGGCCCTGAAAGGGAACTCGGGGGGAAGGAAGCTCAGCAGAAGACCTGTAAAGTCTCTGGGTCTGCTGGGCAGGCTCCTTCAGCACCTGACAAACATCACCGCTTGGCCTCATGCTGCTCTTTACGGACAAGGTGGAGATCTCCGTCTCCTCCAGCCGCAGCCAGCCCTTCCCTTCCCAGCCTGGTCCAGAAAACCCCAAATACTGAAATTCCTCTGGGACGGTGCTGAGAGCAGAAAGGTGCCCTCAGGGACCGGGGCAGGCAGGGCTGTCGGTTCCCTTCCCAGGAAGGGAGACCTGTCCCGAGCAGCACTGGGGAAGGGGAAGGGGAACCTCCCACCGCCACCCCGACACCCTTTGGGAGCGGCTGTCGATAGCGTTCAATTCCCCAAACGGGCCCCATTCCCTCAACGGATCCTCCCAGCTTGGCTGGTGGCCCCCTATGATAATTACCATGTCTGCGCTTCACTAATTAGTTCTGCGTAACGCGGGGCTGCTCGCCTCGGACTGCTGAAGCGAGACGAGGGCTTCTGCGGGGCTGGTGAGCAGAAATCCAGCCCTGGGGAAGGGAGAGGGCAGGCAGCGTGCCCAGGAGGTGCCACCAGAAGCCATTGGACAACCCCATCCCCAGGGGTCGCTTGGGTCCCCACGGGTGCCCCTAACAATTTCTCTGACCCGTTCACGAGCTTGGGAATGGGCTCCTGCCGTCCCCTGGGCGGCTGCTGCGGGGAGCTCGGTCGTACTGGTTTATAGGACACGGTGGGGACAAGGAGGGACAACACCGAGGAGACTTCCCCTCTCCCGGTCCCTCGAGAGGGCTGCCTGCTAAACCCCCGTGGGCCACGCAGGATTTGGGGTGAAAAGGAAAGGCGGCGGCAGAAAAAGCTGTTCAGAGTCCCGGGAATTTGTGCTTCAGCGCAGAGAGCTGCCGCTGGTACTTTGCGATTTTCAAACCAACCGATTTGATTTGTCACCCAGCCCACCCCAAATGTGCCAGTCCTGCTCCCTGCCGGGCACCGAGGGCTCTTCCATCTCCTCCATGAAGGGACTGGGATCGATAGACAGCATTCCCAGTTCGAAGGGCAGTGAAAAATCATTGTTTTAACATAAACCCAAGAATCTGCCGGGCCTGCGGACTGCCCCCAGCCACAGCGGAGCTGGGAACAGATGGGGCGGCCGTCAAACGTGCAGGAGGAGCGAACGGGAACGGTTTGGGTAAAATGCCCACGTAGGCTCCCTTTCCACACGAGCAGACAGACAGGATCGCTGCACGTTAGAGGCAGCGCCTGATAGTATTCCAAACCTGCTAAAATAATTTGCACCTTTACAAAGTCTCCTCAAAAAACAACTGTTTTAAAACACAGGCATTGCTCTGTGGTGCCTGAAACCCACGTATTACAGCAGTAATAATCTGCAGGGCAAATTGGCTATAAACTGAGTGAAAGTGGATTTAATTTCCATTCTCTGGAGTAAGAGAAACGCACGGGCGAAACAACAAGCGATGGCAAGGAAAGATGGGTTTTAAACTGACATTTACAGCAGTAATCCAAGGTATTTGAAAATAAAACACTTAACGTTGCGGAGTTGGCGCCGGCGAGGGACGTGCAGGCAGGCAAGGGCAGGCGCACAGCCGCGGGGGGTGCTCCCCCGGCACTCGGCTGGATGCTGCAGCCCAGCTCAGTGCGGTCCAGCACCGATGTTCCCTACTCGTGTCCTTGCTGTTTTGTTATTTAAACACCCTCAGGTGGAAACGGTGGTAGTGGTTTAATGAAAAACACAGGTATAAGATTGCTCTGGGCTCTCCCAGGCACTCGTGCCCCGCAGTGGTGGTTTGTGGGCTGGAGGGAACTCATCCTAACAGCACGGACCAGCACCAATCCTGGATCAGCCCCTCCTTACCCTCGTCCTGCGAGGATGCTCAATGGCCGCTTTGGCCTGGCGAGGGGGGTGAAGGTGGGGAGTGCCTGGCCAGGTCCCATCCCCTCCCTCCCAGCTCCTCACCTTCTCCACGATGAGGTCGTAGAGGAGCGTCACCACACGAACGTGGAGGGTCTCCATCCCCTTCTGCCTGAAGAGGTTCCTGAGGACCTGGAGGCCACCCAGCTTGAGGAACTGCTGCTGGGCGTAGGGGAAGTGTCTCAGCATGGAGGACAGTGCGAAGAGAGCCTGGTGGGGAGAGAGGTCCATCAGCACGGTGGCCACGGCTGCCACCTCTCTTCGTTACATCCCATTGGGACAAGA